ATATATAGGACCGTAGTCACTCACGTGACGATTCTGGTCAAAATTGCCGTCTCTATTGGCTAGTGTCATTATTCTCTCTTCTTCAGAAATCCAACGATGTTTCTCTGGAGAACTTGCAACACAAACATACCACAACAAAGACCAAATGACACCGCACGCACCTATAAAATCAATCAAATGGACAACAATTAGCCATTCTTTACGTATACGATGCTTACATATGTTCCACAAGCTTTCTAGAATTTGCCCTTAGCTTAGAGTCACTAATTGAAGGTCGAGCCAAGTATGCATATGCCCAGCAGATGTCAGTGAAACAAGACTCACAAGGTAAATCCCAGATGGTTCCTTATCATTTTCTACACTTCCCAGATTGTCCATCGTCTCATTACCCATCATCGATACCGTGTTACCAGCTACATTCTCACTTACTGGATCAGAAAAAATGGACATACAAACAGCGATTCTCTACAGATGTGCGTTCATAGATTTTTGCTCATGTTCGAAATAGGCTTCGAAGATTAGTCGGCCATTATTTAAATACGGCCAAGTATAGCGTCATATTTCCCTTATCGTAGAAGCTAATTATTGCAGTTAACTGCGCAAATGTTAAGAGGTTTCAACCACTGTTTCACAGGGGAAAATCAAGTCCATGTCTGCAAATTTTTACAAGGCTTCATACCAAAAAAATAGAATACAGATGCCCAACCAAAATGTTTGCACAGCGGGCCAGCTATAAACATTGTCACAGTAGCTCCAACACCGTAACCCAACGTGGCCAGCGTAATTAGTAAGGTACGTTCGTGTACCGGACTCCATCGTGACATCAAAGCGTTGGCACTTGGAAAAGCTGAACCCTGCAATACAAAAGACAAACCCATAACAGACACCGAACAAATACCGTAACAAAAGCCTAATAGTAATGTGTAACAGTACCTGTTGTCGTTAATTTATACTCTGCCATTGATATTTATTGTGCATTGTGTGCATAATAATTCAAAATTATGTCAGTTGAAGTTCAATTTTGAAAGGTTAATTCTACTAAAATTAACTAAACTTTTTATTATCTAGATATATTAGTCACTTATATTTTCTCTATGAAGTGAACTCATTATTACAACTGCAATTTTTAGGGTATAGCAGTTTAGTCATAAAGCCAAGCATCGATGTACTTGACTGTGCGCCCTGGCCAAGCCACTCATTTATTGCTGCGAGCAAACTTTTCATCCCGGCGTAATTTCGTTTGCATGTACTAACATTCTGTCAAATTAGGTAACTATACTCGAACACGAGTGCGGAAAATTTTCGTTTCGTCTGCCTCTTACGGCTTATCATTAGACATGCGTAGAGGTTTACCAAGGCTACTAATGACCCAAGTAATAACATTCCATTGAAGCAAATACCACTTACGATGCATAGGCCTGCAACGATTCGGAGTGCAACAAACGCCCAAACACTCCAAGAGATGACTAGAGGCGATACAAACTGGAGTAATGACATAAAGAAAACACCGTAACCTAAAACCCATTTCAGGGAAAATGATTCCACTAGGTGGCCAGCTGGTAACTGTGAAAAAAGAATTCCAATGTAGACCGAATTCAGAACCCAGCCTTGGGTGGTTGTGTTCCAATTACGTGAGTCACCGAGAGAAGTTCTGTTTTGTGGGTACCTCGCTGACTCAAAGAATTTCTGCAAGAGACGTATGTGAGACGAATATATTTATCAATGCGCTTTGTTACCAGATAAAAAATAATGCTTATTAAATAACTATCGCTCTTTTTGTACCCACTTGATTCGTGTGAACTCATACAATTTTAAATAACAAGGTAATGCAAACTTATTGCTTAAATTGAAATAAATAAGCGTAATTTAATACTGCATATACGTAGATATCTCGGAACATCATTTACCAAACGCTACTTCATCCTTACAGGATGCTCTACGCAGATATGACATCTTGAAAAAACCCGACAGAGCGCGACCACACCGAATCAGAGTAAAAGTCCTAATCAATAATCAAACGATGATTTATCGTTACTTGGCGGAAACAGTCAACGACTGTTAGCCGTCCAAACGCCGCCTTGTCGAAGGAGATGCTATTTTGACGTAATAATAAAGCGTACTTAGATGCTCGTTTTAGGATTGGCTGAAGGAACGTACATTAGTATGTGCGATATGATAAAAACGAATTATTCCGTTAGTCTATCTATACCATGTGTGTAACTGGGCCATGGAACGGAGGTTGTGCACCATGCGTCCGATTCACCATGACGAGTACTGTGATGCTCAAGCAGGAACGCAGGGCTTGGTCTAGCACGAATGCGAAGAACACCATTAGCGAAACCAGGTAACGAATTGGAATACAACATTCGGCCATTTCGACAGAATGTTCTGTTGCTTAGAAAGCGCTTTTGATGTTTTCGATTTTTCGTCGTGTCTAATGTATGATATAATAGCACCCCGGCTTTGATCTTATAAATTCGATAAAATTCGATCTGAAGACAGAATAAACAACAATCCCGTTCACGGACGACGGACGGATCACTTGCTGGAAGAAGCAACCTGAAATAACACATTATTTTGTCGTTGTAAGAGATAGCTTCTTTATTTGTAAACAAAGGCATAGTATATGTATAGGTGGGATGACGATACGAAAAAGTGTAAGTATCGGTAATATCTGCATGCAAATGTGATGCAGCGAAATGAAAAACGCTCGCTACCATCAGGACAGATCTTACACACCTTTAAATTGGTCTTCCCAAAAAAGTATATATAATGCAGCTGAAATTAGAATCAGCGTACTAGGAGGTCAAACAATAAATGGTCCCAAGAGAGGCCTTCGCCATTTCATATAAACCCCAAAGAATAAGACACTGTGTACGTATACTAGATCATACCTATCTTTACTACAGTAAGTATATATCCTCGAAGTGCTCGTAATTTATCAGCGTAGGCTCTTCTTTCATAAAAAAACACTGAGTAATTGCTTCGGTATATATAAATAACGAGTTCCTATGAAGTACAGGAAAGTGACTATATTTAACCACACGGTATCACTAGCATAAAACACGCCACATATGGAACAGCGTAGCCTGGGTGACTAATGGCATAATAACCATGACTAACTAGCATACTGCCACACCGGTTCAAATCTCAGCATTGAAAAAAATATAATCAGAACTCCATAACTAAGAAAAATAAGGAGTCAAGAAAAATAATTAATGATTATTAAAGGTTATTAGATATACAACTCCATTTCATAGGTCTGTTGGGCAAACGCCAGATATGTCGGGTAGTGCTAGGCTCGGTAACTCCCAGTGGGCGCAAGGCTTCTGCACTATAATTAAAAAAAGGTGATTACGAGGACTTGTACACATAAAGGAAATAACTAAAAATTTAAAAAAAAAGACAAACCCATAATAAAACAGCTCTTGAAAAAGTAACTTTCCGGGTCTTGACGTGACGTGCTGACACTAGACAACTAAACAAAGGCGCAACTTTATATCAATGACAGGGTGGCTATTGCACCGCTTGCGATTAGTGAGCCATAGTATAAAATATTTATTGCGACTGCAAGCACTTACTGCAATTTGACAGACGATAACTATCAACGATCCAATTTTTATCAACAAAGAGTAATCGTTAATTTATACGGGTTGGCTGACACCAGACCCCAGCAAAGCAAATCTAGGATATTTCAACCCATGGTTCTCTAAACCATAAAAACCAGGTCGGAAATATCAAACATTTCCTACTCCTAATACTATTCGATTTTAACTATACCTTATATTGAACACATTACACAGCACAACAGGTTTCACGTTGAGTTCGTACCACCACCATCAGGACACCATTCTAGTACAACCACGAAAATGTAACAGTAGAAGCAACAAAAATAATAATGTAGGCAGTAATGCAGTCCGCAAAGGGTGAAATGAACACCGATGCACATATTCAGGTTGGATAAGCTTCGATTTTACCTTTATTAGGCGATCTACATACCGTGTCGCGCGCTGCATTCACGATCGGGACTTCTTTCTGAGCTTTGTGTTCACAAATCCTTTTCTGTCATTCCATGGGGCTACGTAGATCACAATGAATCAGAAGTGATATTTTTTTAGGGCCATCGAAGACGGATCATAACATAAATAGAGGAAACGACCACCTAGAATTATATTCAGATTGATAGTTTTTAAATGCTCGTTTTTCCTTTCTGGCAATAAACAGGTTAGATGGATACCCAGTTGTTTGTCAAGAACACTTTAAAATACAACAAAATGTACTGTGTTAAGGGGCTCGAACGACCTAGCTATAGCCGCTGTTATTTTGAAAACTTTGGAAAACTAATCTAATCAAAGTCAGCCAGATTCACTGTACGCTTCAACATATAATATTTTAATGAAAATTTTATTGCATAATCGCGTACTCTCCGTTATTCATGAACTTGAACTTCCTGACCGTCCAGGATGTTTACCTCAATATAGCCTTGGAAACTATTAGCATGAGCTCACTGACTGCAGAAGTTGTTTCATAGTAGTTGCTTCTATGCGACGTCATTACACAGACATTCGCCTATACGGACCAAGCAACCTTAATTGAATCTTCCTATAAGCAAGTTAGTTCTTACGGGCTTTTTTGCCGTCGATCTTTTGTTTTATTTCGCCATAATCGCTTACGCACGAAAGTAAAGTTTCATCGTGTGTGTAAATTTGCTAGCCATAACCTCTGTTGCAACCAGTGGGAAGACTCTCGTCATCAAGTTGGCAGCGTCAGACAGCAATTTAAGACGTAGATCCAGTAAAGACCCGACAGTGAGGGAGCGAGAGGGACCACCTGTTCACCCTAAAAAGCGATGCAGTTATGTAGTTAGCATACGGTCAATAATCATTATCAGAAAGAGTGTATACTTGGCGTTGTTAAACTCTCTCGATCCATAAAACGGGACTAGCAACGCCATCTAGTGACATAAAACAGAAGCCTGCGCAAGTGAAAAACAGGATTTAGAGAATATAACATTAATTGAAAAATGTTTATAGGAAGTACAAAAAGTATGCGTTACGGCAAACATATTTCAGAAATTCAATATCCTCTTACTAAATAAAATTTCGTATGTAGACAATACATTTTTAGTAGATAGCATAATTCTGCATTTCGATTTGCGGCGACTAAATGAATTCCTCAACCAAAGCTGAAACGTCTCAACCGAGTTACATATGTTATGCTTCATGAAATTCAATTAGTCCGATCGCAGACGGGGATACAGACGGATTGTAGGCCTATATATAATAACTAAATAAATATAACAATAACAGAAGCGATAATTGCATAGGATAGCACTACTCTAGGGATAGGGTGCACAACTAGGGGTACACAAGACTAATTGGTCTGTGGACTTCGTAGTATTTTAACGAGTAATCACTTCATAGAGGCCAGCTTTATAAGTATGTCAATTTTGTTATGATGAAATCGAGCGCTGGATTGAAACTACAGATGAATGGAGTACAAGTAATTGTAAAATCTTAGAACTACATGCCAATTCGAATTATCCTGCTTCAGAACTTCAAGCACTAGCTATTATCTATATCATTCGAACTATACGTTCGCAAAATCATGATAATGGTAGTAACTGACAATAAACCTGGACGCGAATGCTTATGTAGGATCATTTGACTGTTAATCAATATAAATTCCAGCTTAGAAACTGACCATCATATTACTCGACTGCACTATCGGATCGGACCTGAACTTCTTTTGAGGGCGCTTTCGTACATAAACACTGTGTCCTGAGGTCCGTTAATCACAGAAGACCATTCCGTCGCTTAGTGGAATGTGTGGAAAACCTTCGATTTCAATCAACGGGATACTATTTGATAGATTTTCGTCCGTGCATAAATGATGATGAAGGTGTTTAATGTAAGTCGCGATTTTCGCTGTGTCAACAATGTCTAAAATTTGTCACGGAATCAAAGGCCTAGTGTATCTGAGACAGAAAGAAGTTCAGAGCAATTATTCCCTTAGCGAAGTACTCTGAAAGAACCTAATACGAAAAAGGTACGGCGCTTATCTGTCTCGAACAGCTGACACCGAAATAGAAGACAAGTGAGTTCTGTGCAGATGTGCTAACTCAAGGCAAGCTACTATTGAAGGAATACAAATTATATGGGGTGAAAATGTGAGAAGTAAATCTGAACTGACCTCGGACATCTGAAAACACCTAGATGCTTGTTTAGTGGAGAATCTCGCTACGGGTGCAGTATTGTTCAATGCATTATTAGTTTCCATATGAAGCAGAAGGCCTCCAGGGTGTTGTGCGTGCATTGTCAGTGAAGCGGACAGAAATACAGCTGTTCTGGGCGCGGCCTTTGCCTTGTAAGTTAAAACTATTGGTAATCGGATGAGTAAATAATTAAAAACGACACACAGGTGTAGCACTAGTGAATTTATCAAGTTGGTTCTATTGGATGTAAAATTGTACTATAGATGGCAACATCGGGATGGTATATTGGTCTTGCATGTTGACTTTGTCTTGAGTGTTTTAAAGACTACGGCATATAAAAGATAAAGTAAACGTACGTGCTATGTACAGCAACTGTGCCATGTCCCCTTTACAGTAGTATATCCGAGAAAAATAGACAGGAAAAAATGTTACGGCTGTTTTGATTTATCATTTTTAATTTATAATCGCTTTAGCGAAGTTCTATGAAAGTGTATTAATAGCTTGTATCGAAAGGTGCTCGGTTCGCCCTGTTGTTATACGAAGCAACATTGTTTTAAAAAGAATGCGTTCTAAATAGTTACTAATAATCAAGTATCGAGAGCTTTTTTTTGCCTTTATAAATGCCTTTATAAATCCAGCGTAGCGCCAGTGCATAGTAAAGTCACTGTATTTAACCAACTGTCGCTGATTTTTTTGGCAAAATAAACTTAAATATTTACACAAAAGAGAGATTTCTGGATTTCGCGCCTTCTGTAGTTCAGTATAGGTTTTTACCATTTGAGCAAGCCTAGACCTGCTAACCACTAAGAAGTAAGCCATCACCGATCGGATTGTTAGAGACTCATAATATACAGTTGTTTACTTTTAGGAAAAGGACACAGGTAATTTGTGCCTTCCGATGACGGAGCGATGTTTGGTGGATTCGCCGAGGCTCTCGCCTATCATACGCCTGTAAACACTGAACTGCACTCATCAACTCTTGATCTTAGTACATTGCAGGTTTGTTTATTGTTGCTACACACCTACTTTCAATCAAGCTACTGAGTTTTACTAATGCTCGCTTTGTTTTGCTCGAGCAGAAATTTCGTATTTTTCCGGCGTCTCCGTGTATAACCAAATTTTCTGAATATGCGAGTTTTAGGGAACACTATTTTCGGCGAGCAATGAGGCCGCCCTTAGTGACCTTCGAGATGATTTCATCCTCATAGCTGAGTGTAACGAACAACAGGGACCTACACCGTTGGTAAGAACTGTTCAAACATCGAATCACACTGTTTATTGTAATGGTATACTTAGGTGAACGACTATTAAACGATCGTTATTTCCATAAAGTGATGGTAGTTCAGGCCAATATTTAGGTAGAGAGAGAAATAATGCCGAACATATTGTTTTTATTATTCCATTTGCACCGGAAGTGTGCGCTTTCAACTAGTTGTAAACTGCTTTTTGCGGTATATAACACTGAACTGTTTTGTTCGCTGTTTAGGTGATTATTCCGAATACCGCGTCTGTACATTCAGAAGAGATCTCAGCATTGTCAATCTCCCTTCTTAGCGTAGACTATCAACATGTCGCCTCGGGAACGTTTCCACGAGAGGATACACAGCTCCTCCTTCCGGAAATTCGAGACAATGTACACGTGTTCGTCAATTACACCGTCTTGCTAGACGCTAAGGTATTAGTTCTATAACACTGACAAAATCACGCTTCATTTACTAGATAAAGACAGGACAGTTGGTTACTTTTATACGTGGTATTTATTTTCAAGGTCATATCGATTTCCTTCTCGTACACCATATATGTGTAATAATCTTCATCTAGTTGTGGGTATCGAAAATTCCTAATACACTCTTGTCTCTACAAGTATGACGTTCTTTCGGTGTCACTCTAATATTTTTCTCTCCTTGCGAATCTGAAATTCTGAAGGCGAGGGGCTTTGTCCGGCCTCTATGTGTCGCCTACGTCTCTCACAATAAGCACCGTCTTCTCAAAGCCGTTGGCCAGATTCGCAGCGTGCTGGTAGACGCATCAAATCTAGTCAAGACACAAAACCTGCCCTTCTTCATCCGGGGACTTAAAAATAGTCTAACAAATTCACGTAAGTAGATCATTATATACACATTTTACCTGTTAAACCCATGTTAACTTATCCTTCTTCGTGAGCATTGTATTGTCACTAACAGTTACAACTTCTAGTTTCTTTTGTGTGATTCCTGGTACTCTATTTTTCGCCAATCCGCAAGGCCGGGCTTGGTGTGGTTGAAAATGTCTTCTATCTGTCATTAATTATTTTTAATTATTTTACAACGGCATAATCGCATTGATAGGAAACATTCAAGGACGCGCAAATACGAAGACTTCTTAAAGAGCCTGAATGGCTTATTGGCGGCCTAGCTAATCGAATGATTTGAATTTGAGCGAGTGCGTATGTCAGAGAACAGCGTTTTGCCATTATGGGGTTTATGTTAATTGGAAAATGAAAAAGACCTAACATTTTGACGTTTGAACCTGTAATGCCAGCACTGTAACTATTTTTCGTACATTCTGAGCTATATAAGTGAATTTCTAATGACTAGGGAACATCTCGAATCATAGAAAAACGTTTTTGTTTCATTATGCGCTCTCTTAATTAGAATTGGAAGGTCCTGCTTTGGTGAAATATGAGTTGACGGTTGCCAACGCCTTGCGGGAGGCCGAGCGAGCCGAAAAGAACCTAGTTGGAGAAGAAAAATCGCGGTTGTTTGAAAAGGCTCTAAACGCGTTATCTTCTCGAATCGGAATCGAACCGGTAGGTGCCCCTCCCATTGGCCTCGTTCCACTCGGACACATAGCGCCCCTAGGCTTCGCCCTCGCGGTGCAGTGGTGGTTGGAGCTGCTCTGCAAAATGCAAAAATTTGTACCCAGTGATGAGGTAGGTGTTCGAAAAATTAGAGTGGTGCGTAAAATAAAATTCCGTTGATATGTTATATGTTAATATGCAGGCTAGGCGTAAACGATAACTTTGCATTAATGGCTGAGGTTATTCTGAGGTTCGTTGGCGTTTATAGCTGACTGTATTTATACCCTGCTATATGTGAATTCGTGAAAGCTACGTTCGTCATACGATATCATTGTAGCGCTAATAACGTTGAGATTGTCGTTTCCATAATGTTATTTGGTAGCAATAATGGTGAAAATATGTCCGTTCTACCTGGTTCAGGGAAACTTCGCTGTTTCTTCTGAGACCACAAGATCATATTACAGTACTGCAATACACTTGGAGTACAAATACATTAAAAAAATAGGGTAAAAATACCTAGAATACAATAGAGTACAAAATTATGTATACAAATACATATTTACGGCGATCTCCCCTATTTTGTCTGGGACGGCTGATTTTACGTAGGTAAAGCTTCCTTCAGTGATCTATGGAGCGTGCCCGGCAAACGAGGACTGTCGGAACTTCGAAGTTTATGATGGAATGTTTGATGCTTTGTCTGACTTAAGTCTGAAAGTCACCAAGAAGGCCGATCTGGAATATACTGGTGACGAGGTATGTGGCATAACCTAGCCGTTAAGATATAAAATAATATTTATTTTCTGCCAATAAAACGTACTACTACCCTATTTGTTGGCTGTATCACGTACCCTATTAATTCTAAGCACAAGTTCAGAAGATCATCGACAGCTTTGAAATAGCCGTTAGGCACACGTATCTTATCCGCTTGCCTTTTGTATGTTTTTTTATTTTCGTCTCCTTATTTACAGGTGTATTGCTATAAACATCTCAACACGCTATATACACTCCCATCATTTGTGGTCCCTCCGTCAATATTATTTGATGCGTACAAAATTATTAACAGGTAGTGGAACGATGATCATGCAAATCTGTAAATTTTATACGCACCACTCTCTCTAAGAAATCTAAACAGAAATTTCGACCAATCCTAACAAAGTGACCAAATATCGTTTTCCACGGCAAACTACGTTTCTAACTGTACTTTAATTTTTACCGTGCGAGCTGTGTATGTACTTTAGTTTGCAAGCAAAAAAACTATTAAATTAAGTAAAAAAAAAACTCAGCTCCAATAATTTCATGAATACGGCTTACGTGCAAAGAGTAGTAAACCATGTAACAAATTAATTAACGTTTACGGCTGAAATTTCGTTCATACATGTAGCACAGAAGATGGCAATTAGCGAGTTTAGAAAGATTTGTTAATAAAGATATAATATAATAATATTATATATATATATATATATATATATATATATATATATATAAAATAAAACTTTATTAACAAGTTTTATTCATCGTCGGTTCACCCAAGGCTATTATATGTTGTTTGAAATAGCTAGAATGAAACCAATCCAATCGTTTTGTATTTTTCGTTTTCTGTTTTGGTGTTGCTCATGTGGATGCTTCTGTTGTCACATGAAGACTAGACACATCGACTTTACACAACATCTTCTTTTCATTGTGTACTAGCCGTCCTTTGGTACTTTATCCTGGCAAACGAGCCGTCAATCTCGCCAGATTTCTTGCGCTGTTTGTGCCCCGCAGAGTCGAGGTAAGTAATTCGAATTGTTGTAACTTTTGGGCGTTAAAACTGCTTGTACATAAGCGTGTGGACTAACTGGATATGTTTGGTGATTATTACAAAACACAGCATCAAGGTGCAGTGCAGAAAGCATCTGCATCACGCACTATACTAGCCTATAATATACACATAATACCATGGTAATAACCTGCTGCTCCCTTCCGTTGCTTCTATTATTCCTTATTTGCGAGAGCTAATGGCGTTCGTCACTTTTTATTAGACTCTTCGTGATTAACCAATGCCTGCAGAGACAGGATGGCTGTGCCACAGTGGAAGCTTTTACGCCTGCTCGCTGAGTAGTGATTTCACGTAGTACGCATTTCTTTGTCTTTTTTGTCTCCTCCCAGGACAATATGCTATTATACATTGACGATCCGGTGCCTGGCGATAACTGTTCACTAGCGGCGTTTCTATCACCGCTGGACAGCGACCAAGTTAATATGATGAAGAAAAAATGCTCACTTTTGTGCGTCGACTCGTTTGATTTTCTCGGCCCAAAGTATAACGGTTACCTTCTCAGTTCACTATGGAGAAGGGTGCAAATGGTAGGAAACGATTTTCGTCAGTGTCTGAAATAATATTGTTCTAATACCAATTAAACCTAGTCAGATTTGCACCTGTTAGTTCTGACTTGCCTGTCGTGCATGCATGTGTAATGATTGTTTGTTGCTTTGGGTTGACAAATCATAAAGGATCTGTTTGTTGTCTACCAACAATCTAGTTTAACATTCAGCTTTATTCATCGGCATTTAACCTCCTACGACGATGATTCAGGTTCGCGAACAGCCCCACCTACTCGTAGCCCTACTGTCTGCATTTTTATGCGAGCTCGAATTGCATTCCCTGTCCACGCCGCCTCTATCGACTTGCGATGCCAGCATACTAAAGGTAATGATACGTCGTAAAGTACAAACCGCTACGAAATGATTATCACCGCTTAAATCGACTACGATTAAAGCTTGGGTACTGCATCTCTGTTAGGGTATTGTATGTCAATATATGGGTATTATGCCCAATTTTTACTAAATTTGAGAAACTTCAACGGATAGACAACTTCGACTTGCGCCTATCCAAAGCCATGACGGACGGGGCTACCGTATACTGGCGGAGTCATCTTCCATAATAATTGGTTCTGTTGATGGAGATGAGTGCATGTTATGTAGCGCCGGAATTATAAATATTGGTTACGAAGAATAGCAGATTATTGCTAACGAACTGTGTATTAAAAATGTAAACTTGAAAGATTTCTCGAAACCAAAACAGATTTAAGCTCACGCCTACTTGCATTCATATTATAGGTATCGATATTTAATAGCAGAATATAGGCCGGAAAACCACCTAATTATCACACATTACAGTCTGTGCTATGTACGTTTTCGAATCAATCACAATTCTAATACAACCTAGGAAAAACGAAATTTTATATACTGCATGCGCTCAACCATGGTTCCGTTTTCATTAACAATCAAAGGGATTTACTATTATTATGCCAATATGTCTTAGTACAAAAAGCATCATTCGTATTTTCAGAACTATGATCGACTGTTCCAGTAAACACTCCGTAGTGAGGGAAAACATTAGATGAAGCGCTTATGAGTCGTAATGAAAGAAAAAATAACAATATATGACGACGAGATGGAAAAGAACAAACTTGTTCCACGGCCCAGGAAGAAAGTCAACTATTCTCGCGAATCAATGTTTGTTTTATTCAGACCCTCGCCAAATTACCGAATGTGGCGGGTTCAAAAAGTGATCAGCGACTTTATTATGTAGAAAATCTTTGTATAAAATGAACCGTCGTTTTTCTAAAGAGTTTTTGTTATGCTAAAGCCGTGGAAAGAGGAAGGCAACCAACTTCTCAATAAATCGTAATGGATGATAAGGCATGCACAACTCCAAAAGGCTGTTATTGGACGCACAGACTGGCGCTTCGATTAACTAAACGTTTGAATAGCTATATATATGTCATTGTAAATTGTACTATCGAAATGTTAGGGCAACGCACGAACATCGATAATATTCTTGATATTGGTGATGTCATGAGAGTATGAAACAAAAACAGTGGTAATACACTATTTTTTTGTATATAGCCATACACATACGTATCTGTTTCTGCTTAGGTAGACACAGACAAACAGAACAAGTCAACCGGAAAACAAATGTGGCGTAAAGAATTTGTTTTCCATTTTACTATGGCTGGTTACTTTATGGCTTTAAATTCGCACTGTGATAGTGACTAAAAAAGCGAGTGACTTGAGAATAAAAGCAAAAATATATATCACGGATTGTCGAAAACAGAAAAGTAATTTGCTGGCTTTTTTTTTTGTTTCTTTAACCAGTTTCAGAACTAAAGAGGCTCCTGAAAGTCAATGATAATTGGTGATTTAAGCAAGTATGTAGTAGAATGTCAATTCCAGGTATTTATTTAGCGAAATATTGATACGAAATAACATCGAGCAGTGGACATCGTTTCAAATCCTGCAATTGCAGAGCAGACCAAAGCGTTTTAAAAAAGCCTCAATTAAAATGCAATTAGGGCCCTGGGGGTATCGATCAGTTCAAATTTTGATTCCAAAGCGCGTCTTTATAGGGTTATTATGGCATGGCGATCGGTACTACGCTTAATCGGCACAACAATTTGCCACTTATCCGATACACGTGCTTGCAAAATTCAGTCCAAGGTTATTTACACTGTTCTTAAGCCTAATAGCTCGTAAAAGAAAGGGACAGTTTGTATTTTTATTTTGGCGTTTATATTCCGTTTTTGGATAAAGCGTGTGAAACCTGTGAAAGTAACTTAATTTAATTTTAAGGTGCTCAGTAGCTACATATATACATACAGAGATATTGAGCACCTTCTATTTACCAATGGCTACTTTATGAATTTCAATTGCTGTTGCGCCAACAAGAAGTTGGTGATCTAATTGACGACGAAGATACAGCAACGATATCAAGTACTATCAAGGCTATCTAATGGTGCTTCCTCCACGATTAGACTGCGTCAGCAGTCTGATACCTCATCGAATGCGAGGACATCTACTAAATCACAAAGCTGACTAGATGGTCTAGATTTGACTTCGAAAGGTGCAAGTTGTCTATCTGTACACTTTTTTTAACTTGAATAGTTTTTGCAATTCACAGATAATCGGGTAGGTAGACGAAGCTTACGTTAAAATTTTTGTCGGCATATATGCTGTTTGCCAAACCGTTGAATAGCATTATTATCTTCGAATCAAAACATTGTCATTTTTAATATTGCAATACAGTATTTTATCACTTGTATAATATACATCTTGTGGAAAATTTGTTTTCACACTTTTTTACGTGTAACTTACGCTTACTTTATAAGGAATGCGGTGAAAACTAATGTCTTGAAATCACTTCATACACTTATGCGTTAAAACACAAGTAGCACACATAGGTGTGTCAGCGTGTTATGTAGAATATATACATAGAATCAGATTATTATTATTAATAAAATAAACATGTAGTTTAACTTTTTACGTACTAGCTAGTTTTTTTTCAGAGTGACAATTCTTCTTACATTGGAGAAGCTCCTTGCAGTCGAATGTCAGCTGCATCATTTTTAGTGAAAGTATTTTCGGGCTTCTCCAAATTGAACTCGTTCTTTCTATAAAAAAATGTGTAAGAATCAATAATTTCAAGAAGACAACTATTGAGACGGTGTTGAAGTTTTACAGCTGTAATATCTTTGTCCTCCTGCCACAATCTTCTTCTTCGACTTCTAACTTCAATACTACAATATGGTTTCACATATGTAGTCTCTAAAAAAATATACACTTCAATTTTTTCACAAAGATAACACGTTTAATTAATACGTTTAACAACAAGGTAAAACGTTACATATATCGATTGTACAAATCTTCTCCTATAAATTTAATGTTGTATATATAATAAGGTTAAATAATGTTTAAGTTACTAATATCCGAGTAGCTCAATAGATCGTGTTTATTATAGATCTGTGCAAAGCTAACTTCTAAACAAGCGAGTGTTTATCTATATATATATATATATATATATATATATATATATTTTTTTTTCCTTTTTATAGCATATCTGAGTGCCACATTTTCCCACTGCTTGAAATCCATCAAACAGCATATTCAAATCGTTCAAGATGGCTAACTTAGCTGTTCCTTGAGCTCTAAAATTTATCAGTTTTTGCCACTTTTTAAAACAAATTTTTAATTAGAGCGGAGTACTGCATATACATAATAGATTACTCAGATGGGATTGTAAAGTACAGGTACGCGCATAAGACTTCATTATGACATTTGCCGGGTAGTCAGTACTACAGCAAACGATAGACAACATCGTCGTTCTACTACAGGCTTCGTTCCTTGTCACTGTTCTGACTAGTTCACACTCGTAACTTGTAAAATAGGATTTAATCGAAAGGGCATTACGACATTACAATCGATTGCAAGCAAGGCCCAAGATCCTTTTCTGATGTTAAATAAGACGAATAGATTCGGACTGGTCGCTCCATCTATGCTCACTCTTGTTAAACCAATAGCCCTGTCGTTGTGCTTTTCTTACGTAGGTTGTTGTAGCGGCTGTTACACGTGGTGCCACCTTTGTCAGTAAAAATTTGGTTATTCTTGCCTAACTAAGTTAGTTTTTAAAAGATAAAATGCAATATGCCGCTATGAAGCCCACAGGTCACTTATTACACACACGCAGTTTTTTGCCACAGCGGCTGGCTTAGTAACCAGAAGCGGAAGTGGGTTCGATTGCTCCGTACGAAAACTATATGTTTTATATGGACCATACTGAAGCAGTGCTCAAGCTAAGCTAACGTAGGGCTTTGGCGATATTCGATTTGGTCACAGATGTATTGAATCACAACTATGAATCTAAATTTAACGATAAAGCTAAATATCCATTTACCTTCCATTACCTTAGTCTTTCGATACTATAGATACCCATAAAGTTTGTCAAATGCCTGAAAAGATCTTCAGCTAATTGTTTCTTAAAGAATATGTTTTGTGTATGATTAATTTCTGTGATTAATACAATTATGTCTGGGGCCCGCTGTCTGCGATCGTTCTACAGAGATAGTTTATATAAGGCTGACTAGAATCAGTTGTGAGCATGAAGATTCAACACTATTCGATCAACTTGTTTTTTAGTTGCTAAACATAGTCGTTCACTGTAGCAATTGAAGCTATGGTCTTGACCATAGAAGACCGTTGGGTTGGAGCGTACACTTCTTGCCAGACGTGGAAAAAGGCAAAAGCGTAGTAAGATCAGTTGACAGTTGACTGATTTCAATGAACTTTGCGGGCCTGAGTTATGCTCACAGATTCACCAATTTAAATCTATCACTCCAAACTGTCTGAAAAATTTTCCACATGATCCAGCTTAGTGCCTTTTTACGGAACAAATGGTTGTGAATTTGATATATCAACATGTGTGACATACCACACATCAATACAAAACAGCAAGAAAGTTCTCCGTTCTTTCTTTACATTGAATATTAAAATAACAACGTCTTTCCTCGATCACATTTTGCGCCGCACTTTTTGTAATTTCTCCTAGGATCATTACGTCATCTTTGGCATTGATGATTGTCCTCAAGTTAAAGAGTCATCTTCGAGTTAGTCGTAACATTTTCGGTGTCCGTCTTATGTGTTGGTCCTTAGAACATCTTACTGGTCTGCCACAGAGCGCGCTTCTTCGCTCTTGGTCTTTGACCAGGGCTGCTCCTCGGCAGTAGCGAACATTGCAAAAGTGATCGCTCCCACAAAGCTAATGGTTGCCGTTGTGTAGAACACATTATTGTATTGGGCATAGGTTGCCTGAATAATGAAATGGACATGTTAATGTTTACGAGCATAAGTGAGTCGTAAACATTTTTATGATATACATTTAATAGACAACAAACAAACATGATGACGTTGGCGTAGCACTATTATTATTATTTCAATTATAGTCTACAGAAAAATGGCTGCGGAATATGCTTTTTTAATCGCTCTTAGGTTTAACTTACATTTTGACTTGTCATGACGCCGACCAAGAGAGGAGCCACGATACCACTGCAATTTCCAATCGTGTTGCCAAAGCCCATCACAGACCCTGCGAGATCCGGCGCTAAATCGAGGGCCATTGCCGCATTACCACCCCCACTTAGAGCCAGGCTCGTGATTGAGCAACAAAGAATTATTGCTACCAGATTCCAGTTGCAGCTGGACGAAGAAAGAGAGATCGATAAATGATTATTAACGCGTTGTTTGCGCACATGGTAGGCGAAAAATATATTCAACTTGACTATATGATGATTTACATTACTAAAAACTACACATGACAAAAAAGTAGCGACAACGGTTTTATTTTGCACGACATCTTTCTACAGTACGTAATTTCTAACGCTCTATGGCTAAATTTTTTGGCTATAATTTCATACCTTGATAAATGTCATCGGCAAATGCAATATGTTCGAAATGTAATGAAGTCGAGTGGACGAAAAATCTTGTTTCCTGCTGAGGGTATTTTGCTTTTCCTTTAGTCGGATATTCAAATATCGACGTAAATCACAAGTAAATAATAAAGGGAACATCCCCGCAAATACAAGAACCCCAAAAAAATATCACTTTCTAGGAATCTCCGTTTTTTACTAATAATACTTTTTGAACATTCGGAATCCATTCAATTTCTTTTGAACACATAACATATTACTAGCGGTTTATGAAACTATATAATATGAAATCATATTAGTTATTATTGTTAAATAATAGAGTATTGGAAGCATTTGATTCTAAAGACCTAGGTCAGAGAATGCTATCAAGATACGTTATTTCTTTCCATAAGTTCGACTACACCGCTGAGTATTGCATCTACGAAGATGTCTGTTGGCTCATTGTGGCACCTATTTATTACACATTAATTAACAAACCCAATTCTCGTGACTAGAAGCAGCATGACACCGGAGATGACAGCTGACGCGCATTCAAACAACTTCCTAATATTGGTTCGGGTCATAATGTTTGATTGAATAAGACGATCAGATACCGCACCACTGGAGAAAGCCACACATGCGTAACAAACAAAGAATAATGCATTCAGAGCTCCGTTCTGAAATGAAAGAAACTGATTAGTATATTTATTATCGTATTGATAAACGGAGGAGCTGAATTTGTATTAAGAAGACAACCGAAAAACTTTATCTGTATCAGAAGTAACAAGGCCTTGTCAAGCTATTGAGCTAATTTGGTACAACCAGTAGATAATAAGGGACGTATGCTTGAAAGGCGAACCATCCCACAGTATTTAAATCCAGGTTTCAAACCTTTACGACCATTAAATGCATCGCAACGTGGTTATATCTGTTCTTTCTCTCATAGACCGCCTTCAGTAATTACATAAACAGTGGATGTACGTTTAATATGTAATATACCGGAATCTGCTGTATCTATACCTTTGTCATTGAGATATGGAAGATCGTATCGATAAATATAGGCATCTGCGTCAAAAACAAATAGAGGGTAAGGGAGGTACAGAACCGAGCCGTTGCAAACAGCCAAACGGGCTTCGAGGTGATTATGGTCAGCCATGGGATCTGAAAGAAACGGTAGATAATTTCAAGATGACGCGCCGCAATTAACACTTTAAAGTGAAGGCAAGCGAAAAATTTATAGATTTTATACTGTATATGTTGTTTAGGTGCATGGTTAGATTAATATAATTTACAGGAAACCATTTTCAATGCTATGTAGCGGACATGCGATTTCAATTATGGACAACATCACTGATTTATTATCGCTCTTTGTATACATAATTAGTTACCTTTCGTGCGGGTGAGTGTGTTATGCCTCGGTTTTGAATAATATACCTTCGCTCTTCGTCTGAGATCCAGCGATGATTCTCCGGCTGGGATGTCGCGCAGATATACCACACGACTGACCAGACAACACCCAGTGCACCTGGTTGGTTAAACCACCGTTCGAGATCAATGGAACGTCGTGACAGATCACGACAAAAACAAAAATACAACCGCTTTCAGTTTACGAACAGTTTATTACTGCTACTGATACATTTTGAGTGTACTTGTGTTACTCGCAAGACGCAACACACGTTTTAAGCTATCTGTTACAAACATTTTTGTTGACTCTTTTGGCGTCCCATTGATTGGTTTGTCCAACCCCAATTGTAATGCTAACAGTTATATTGTTACATTACTAAATAATCGCTGCGTATAGAGATCTAAAAGAAGAGGAGTTAAACCTTATCGAAAGCATCCACGGTTTGACGTAATCTAAGCTCAGCTCTAGGAGTAATCTAGGAGTCTAGGCTCAGATATATTTAATCCCTGATGCCTTGTACAAGCGTTTACACAAATTTACCAGAAGGACAAGTTAGAAAATCTCTCGGTGCAAGGTGAATATTAAGAACATCGTGGGAACTCTACAAGATCAAGTGGGTCTTTACCGGGAATGTAGAAGGCAGCAGGCCAGCCCAGTGATGATTGACAGAGCGCAGCCGCCATCGGCAGTGTAATAACCGTTCCTATGTTCGATCCGATTATACAGAGATTTACCATGGTCGTACGTTCCTGAACAGGAGACCATCGAGCCATCAGGCAGAATACCGACGGAAAGGTCACACCCTAGCATAAGACAGCCGACGTGCATCCATGTAAATATGAATAAAAAATATTCAGTTAAACGATAAATTGTTGATTTTTTATGCGCAGCAAAAAATAGATCGCACAGACCTTCCATACATACTCTTGTGTGAACGATAATACAATCGAATAGGAAAATATTGAATTGAATATTCATTATCACCGCACGTGGCTAAATACGATAGAACAAAAAGTAAGGTTTCCATCCAACCCTTGCTTTGCTTAACGATGGTCACAATTTTGTCTAAGGTGTTGCGCTACCGAACCTTGTAAAGGACAAAGTAAATGATTCCAAAGAGAAAAATAATCTAGAAAATCTAAAAAATAACTTGGAAAATGCAAGGGCTAAGTGAAATGAGATTGTCGAAATGCTTCCAAAAAATGATTTTACCCCCGGACATTTCAGTTGTACCGATACGAGCCCTCTTTTCCAAAAGATTACACCCCAGACCATTCCGATATCAACGATATTACCGAAATTTGATTCTATTACTATTATATTATATTACACCGGAGGAAATTAAAATAATTTTAGGACGCTTTCTCTCAAAAAGGATCTCAATCTGAATATGGCGCTACCAAAAACCCTTTAACGCAGATTTCTTCCCGCACAGTAGATAGGGGGATGTCTGGCCCTTAATTTAAAATCTTAAGTTTCCAAGAGATTTCCAGGCATACAGATCCATCAGGGAGGCTAATCGCCTCGTATCAAGAGTAAATTATACCAGAAGAGAATATCCTGTTGCTGCAGGAGGTCCTCAGGCTTTGATAGTAGAGATGATTTTTGCACCTGTGATAACGTGCATAGGATCTCACAGTACATTGGGGTTTCCTCAATTACGATGTTAATGGCTAAGCACTCGTTGTCTATAATTCTTAAAAGCGGCGCCCTGGAAACTAAGGAAATTACGCACTGACGGATATTCCTGGCTGGCTCTGATCGCAAGCACACCGAATATGCAGCAGTTAAAGCTAGCAGAACAGCCATTGCCTTTTTGCTTAATATTGGACGTGGGTTTAATTCCAACGGGTGAGCCCTTGCAGAAACGCTATAGAGTGTGATACTTTCAGCCTTTAGGCTTACAACCTGGGGCATAATAGTCAAGCTTCTAAATAGGATACGGCGACCAGCAATAATGTCACGGCTTGGTCTTGCGTGTCGACACAATACGAAAATCGGAAATTTAAGTCATCATCTTGTGTAGCTCGTAATAAGTCAACAATAGTTTTTATATGGGCTCGTAATAATTTTTTGCCACCCATTTTTTGCTACAATATTTTTGCAAACCAGAAATGCGAGAGTTACGCGAGAGAGGAAAATGCGTCCTCAGAAAAGATATTGGTGCGTAACACGCTTTCAACCGGTGCACTGCGTTCCATAAAGGATGAATAGCTTCTTTATCCGCTTTAAAAAGATGCACTTCTTTTTTATGCAAGCTAAGGACAATGCTGTCATATAAAGAGCTAATAAGGTTTGCTCGAGACCAAAACCAAATATAATTTTACAGAAATGTCTAATAGTGATGCTTCTGAGATTTCCCCTTGCTAAAAATAAAGACGATAGGCTACAGATCACCTAAAACACCTTAAGCTCAGGTGTTGTGAAGGCAGTGAATACTTTAGTCGTGCAGCCCAGTTTCCGCCCAATTTTCTATTCTTCTCTATAGAAAAAAATGCAATACTTTTAGAATTGCTCACCTCTGTAATGCCTTCAATAGCACGCAGGGCGATGAGACCGTAGATGCTCCATCGGGCAACCCAATGTGTGACCAATGTGAACACTGACGTGAGAAAGATGCCGTAACCGAATACCCATTTAATGGAATACTTATCTGCCATAATTCCGCCGAGTACCTGAGTGCTGGTGTATCCAACAAAGAATGCATTCTCCACAATTTTTTGTTCGAGCTTGGGCCATATGAATTCGCCCTGTAAGACATAGGAATTCTACTATTAACAACGACCATAGGTTCTGGGTGATCATGACATATTCTCCAGAACCTTCCTTTAATTCTTATGATTAGCGTTATAAAGTATTTACAAGACCATCATTTTTTGAATAACTTGTTAGAGTTTTCAAGTTACATTAAGTTGTTACAAGCGAATCCGGCGGATTTCCATATCAATAAACCATTTGGGCTTGAATGAGGATTTTATATAGGTGTTAAAGGTACTCTCCTTTTTTCAAAATATGTCCCAGTGCTCTGGCAGCCTCCAGATAGCCATATATGTATTATTCGAGTTCCCATATGTAATTTAGCTATTTATGGGTTCTCAAAGTAAATATGTAGTGGGATATGCTTGCCCACTAGTGCTGTTTGGAAAGCTCTATAATCACACGGACTTAGATTGGGAGGAAAACGGGTTGAATCTTCCCTTACTCAATCAGGTTCTTGCAGTTTTCGATAAATGGTTAAAATTTTGTTAGTTTTGGCTAACAGGACTCTTAGACTTCAAACTCTGCTTGTGAAAGGTCTTCAGTTGCGGTAATGCGTTATTTGTTTTTCGGGTCCCACGTCCAGTCATCTCCGTTCTGGACATGTTTACTCGATTCACGTATTGTGCTCTCGCTCAAGACCTACTTGCCTATTCATTAATCTCGGATAAATTTCCGCAGTACTGTGACCTGCGAAGGACAAAAGCTTCACAACTGAGCGTTGATTGTAAAACTGAAATATGTTTAAATATGTTTTTTCTTTTTAACGTGTTCCTTGTAGAGTAAACTCAGTTGGCTTTCACTCACGAAGATCTGAAGGACTAAGGTAGTTATCAGTCAAATTTAATCTGCTAGTAGCGTGTAGTTCAATTTCAAGATCCGCCCGATTCGTTTGTAAGGGTCTAACCTTTATTATGAAAATAAATTTGTTTAGTTAGAAATTGATATAACGAGTTATATTTTATTGATGTCCTCACTACTTGCAAGTTTAATAGATAATTAGTATACCGGCTTCGGGGCAACACTAATATTTCCTGAAGGCAGACATGTTCCATCGTCTGCGCTAGAAACGTTTTTGCCTTTTGAGCCGACCATTTGGATGATTGCGACCGACATGTTGATTCGCATTGAATACGCCAGTGCCAATCCGGTGAACACCAGAAGACAGATGACATATCGGTGCCGCAAAAGACCTGCAAGCACCGGCAAATCGTCTAGGAACAAATCCAGATTTATATAACTCCTATGGTACAAGGTTACTACATCACAACACATTACATTCGTTTCTTCAACATGTTTATGGTTTAAAAATATAAATATTGATGTGTATGAATGGTTACCACGCACTAGTCACTCTATTGCTTCTCACATCGAAAGCTAAGCGGGTATCGGCAACTCGTAACAGCTGTCGTAGTTGTTTGCATAACTGTGCCTTAAGTTTATGTATCATAAGTTAAGAAGCGACTGATGTGTATTTAAAAAGTAGTCAATTATTTATGTACTTATATAACACTAAAGAAATACTCGATTTGGTCATAATCACACAATCGTCTGTATATTCAAATGTCGTACAGATAGTACCAACCTATTACTAATCTCGGCTAGATTTGTAAAATTACTTCCGCAGAAAGTATCAACAAGCAAAAAAGAATTGGTTCCTAAAACCTTTCAATAGAAAAAAAATGTCAATACCGGTTGAGTATCATAAGTGGTAGAAAAAAAAAGTGACAAAGCACTCCCCGGAAGGTCATAGCTTTAATTTCAGAAATCTTTAATTTAAATCTCCACCAGTTCTCCTCTAATTACGCTTCTCCGATCTCCTTCAGAATGCAACATTTCATCCTCACAGCCTTGCCTTATTTACAATTAATTTCTGGCGTCGCGCATCTCAATGTAAAGGTGACTGCTGCTACTTATCTGAGTAAATCGAATAATTACAGGCTGTCCGCCTCAGGCACCCGGTTACCGGTCTAAGCTCATGTGATGCCGTTCATCTTATCTTAATTGGACTAATGCACGTATAACAAACATTATATTAATTATAATAGATGGCTATTTTATGTATGGCCTGACTGGTTGATAAATTATCGCAGTGTGGTATTAAGAGAAATAGAAACGACAATCGTATAAGATGCGATATGATGTACTGTGACAATGCTGTAATAGACACTTAAATAACTGTTGCGGCACTCATGACTCAGGATCGGCTTCGAATCTTCATTGGGCAGTTAAACTAGTATTAGGTAACCCAACACTGATCTGCGCACCGGCTCGTACTTCAGTTGTCGGTATTATTAGCAATAGAAAGTGAGCAAAAGAAGTGTACCTGCGCACAAGAGGCAGGTACACATCTCCCTCTAGCACTCACTTTGTTGTCGTATCGATGAGTTCATCTCCTATCGAAAGTCCCGTCATAATTTGCACAAGTCATGACCGTCTATTATTATGATTTGTGAACAATAAAAACTTTGAATTTGTTCATCGGCATTTTTATCGACGAAGAAAAACTTCAACTTTATAAACTGTTCATTTGCCCATAAACAGAACAAATCTATCCTTGGTAAAACCCAAGAGAATAGGCACAGAACGCTCGCACCACAAAACTTACAAAAAAAAAAAAAAAAAAAAAAAAGGTTACCATTGTTAAAGTTACGGACGGCGGTGCACCTTCGAGTGGCAAAAATAGGCAAACGGCCGTGCGTCTAAAATTACATGGCTACGAGACCAAGCGTGCACACTTCATGGCTCCTATAATAATGTTCAATCCGAAGGTCCTGAGACCTTCAGCTCAATAAAACACTTGTATAGAATAGTCAAATATTGCCGAAAGCTAAAAAAAACTCCACTTTTGGAATATTTTACTACGCTATCATGGCCAACTATGAAATCGTTCATTCACTTCACCAATAACAACAATGTTTTACGGTCCCTAATTAGCGGGACTTCTACGACAGCCTCAACAAACTTAAACGCATAAAGCTAAATTTATGTTAATTCATCGCTCATCCAAATCTCGTCAGCATAGAACCGGATATAAAAAACTTTTTAGAAAAAATCTTATTTGTTAGCTGTAAATATTTTTCGTCCTTTAGCTTACGGCACCAGCCCTTCACAGGTCCTATCGTGCTTTCTAAATATACGTAGTTAATTCTTATGGACCAATCGTTCAGTTAACAGGAACTGATCCACATAAACATTCTGGTCATGGCTAGTCAGCACGGATCAGTTCCTAGACCGATTGTCGGCTCCATATCGTCGTTTTTCAGTAGCTATTATATTCACCAACAAAGCCATTTGTCTTCCTTATTTTTCGACACAGAAACAAGCCTTTATCCAACAAAGTACTTATTACCCACTTGTGCCGAATCTGATAAATTCAACCGTCTTCCAGAGATGATCGTTTCCATTGATTGCTTACGGGGCCTATTTCACAGAATAGACATTAGAACTACTACGAATAACGCGATCCTTATTAAATAGTAGCTTTCACACGTCAAAGCTACTAAGAAAGCCTAAAATTGATGACCCTGGACGAAAGGGTACGGTATACCGACGCTATATTTTGTATTGGTATCTCCCTGTCATATAAACTGTCATGTAAACACACTGGCCCGCTCTTTATGACGTACATATATGCACCTCAATTAGGAAAAGAGCAGAGATTCTATAGGCGAGATTAATATAGACCGATTACTACTTAAAAAAATGCTCGCCTACGTTAATTAAATCTGCCGCCATTTTTACGCCAAACATACGTAGTTTAAATAGGATCTGAGAAACCGCTTTTGAATTTTACCATGATATAGATCGCATATTTGAACAAATACGTTTATATATAAACGAATAGAAACAGATATATATGTATATGCATTACACCTCAAAAATTATGTGAGTAGAGTACCCAGATATTTACAGACAAAACTCATTCTTCTTCACATAGAAAAATTGGTTCGTTCTGATTAAATGCAAATCGACTTTATGACGCAAAGAAGAGGGTGACCTTCGAGACAACATGAAGAGCCAATTCGATTGGGCAGAACACAAGTCTTTTATCGACATTGTTACTTCGTTGGTCCCAAACACCTGATCTGCGATCATTTCGTCTATTTGCAGTACCTTCGACTACAGGGTGTCGCGTGAGAATCTTCCCCAGCGCGGCTGAAAGCGATATGTGACGCTTCATAATGCTTTGAATCATCATATTCGACAACAACTGGTATGTTTCTTCTTAATTACATCGTAAAAGGAAAACTACTTCGTTTGCTCCATGAATATATCTCATTTTAACAGATAATTAGAGTGTGGGGCATGGTCAATGGTTGTAGTCTGGAACTCCTTTTTTGAGAATCGACGTGCTACTTTGCCTACCGCTGACATGTATTCCTATAAAAGTTAGTGCCTTTGCAGAGAAGTACAACATGGGCATATTTCGAAGAATAAATATTTCCAGAAGACTAAAACATAGCAATTTCTTCAATACCAATATTCAAATTGAGCCATTCATTAAGAGAATCTTCCGCAACATAGTTTTTACTTGAACTTAAACTCACAACATAAGATTTATCCATGTTTTGTTCTATAAACTATCAACTCCAACAGCATCTGTGATAAACAAACGATAGATATAACTAAATACTTATTTTCATTGAAGAAATCTTCATGTCGTAATCTTATAACAAGCAACTATTCTATGAAACACGCAGCACCTGTTAGATCCTATTTTATCATTCCCATTGCGGCGTATCAACGGCTGGGGGTACGTCTAACTATATGGGTTAAATAGGTCTTTTCACGCCGGAACAGACGCCACCGAGTCGCTCAGCAACGGGTAGTATTCCACTGGTGTCGCAATGGGTTGTGTGTGACGTGGGGGACAGTTATGCAAACATCACCTTATGACTATGCACTGCCTGCGAAATCTATCCAGTTTTAAATAAAATTCGGAAAGAAACCGATTCCCATTGGCGATTATCATTTGGGACAACTACTATCTATATTGCTTTCTGTGACGTTTTACAGCGAACATCTAAGTTCTAATGTTTCCAAATGTTGTGTGGATTTCTTAGCACAAACGTCTGGATAGAAGAAGGCCTGGCCTGAACGACGAGCTCTGGCCAATGAGAACCTAGGATACGTAACGGCACGGACGCCCCCGGAACGATCATCGGTGAACTATTACGTAAAAGTGTATCGAATAGAAAGGTACACAGCACATACGCTGGTTTATTGGTTTTTAGTGGGCGAACTGCCGGCCGTCAAGAAGAAGAGAATGAATGGGAAGAAGTAAGTGTGTAAACTGAAAGAAATTGAAAATCAAGACCCAGAGCTACTGGTGAGTTCTTTTTCCACAAAGTGCATGAATAATACAGCAGAAAGCATACCTCGTGTATTTGTATCTGCAGGCTGTGTCTGCCTATGGGCAGAAAAGGAATACAAGAATGACAGCAATGACTACGTTGTCACATTTGTCGACTTTATTGGCTTGTGGACACAGCCGTAGTAGGACTGGAAAAACCCTATATTATATGGCACCCATATATGCCTGGAACATGCATATAGGTTATATGAATCAGGTAGAGGTAGTGGAGATCTGAAGAAATCTTTCTAACTGAATAAAAATACAGTTTTTCATGCATGATTATTCGCTCGTTGCATTACCAGTTGACTGTAAATGCCTGTTCAACGAAAGATTTAAGACCGCTGGAAAATTGTTGTGTTATAACTACATGATTTCTTGGAACAGTAGCTCTAGCTAAAAAGGACAACGTCAAACCAATAAAGCGGACGACAATCATTTTCTATCAGACGGAAGTGTTACCTTGATACGCTTCTTAGGACTGCAAAAAATAATTAGGGCTAAACTTAATAACGTTCTGCAATCTAGATTCTGATATCAATGGATATTTCTGCTGCAAAAATACAATTCAGCTTTTACCGATAATTAGTTTGTTTACAATAATAAATCTGTACATAGTTACAATAAATCTGTATCGGTCAAAGCAGCCCGAACATTTGAACTAGTTGAATGTAAGACCATATGAGTCACCGTTATTGCGAGCACAATCGTATGTAGTGTTCGGGTAAACTGAGGCACTCATCATCAATTCTGGCCGCTAGCTGTGAGATTCCGGATGAACTAACAGGAAGACAGGGCATCCCAGCGAAGTGATGACCTGGATAAACCCCCAGGCGGCCACCTTTACGGTTCCGGTGGCCGCAGCTGGCCCGTAACTAAACAGGAACTGTAGTTTATGATTGATTCATCACTTCGGATGTTTCGTCTAATAACTTCGAACTATATATTAGGAGGCTAAGACAATGCGGAATATGTACTACGTAGTAATTCAGCCACTTAAGTAAGTGATCGATTGCCGCATGAATGTATTTAGATATCATAATGATGCCAAGCGCATACGCTCAGTGGTAAATCAATTTTTGTCAACAATATATTACAAGTTATTTTAATGCATATACATATGTAAATACCGACCAAATTTCAAAATTGGAATAAAAGTACACGTGACTGCCACCAGCAGTGATAATAGATAGCTCAATTCAGCGATACAAGTAGAGGAATTAAGTTTCGAACAACTAGATATTTGAGAAACGATAGTTCAACGATACTGGACGATATTTGAGCTAACTTTTTTCAATTCAGTCATTAACTTTTTGCCACATTTACTTTGTTTGGTATAGTAGATAACGACATAAAGCTCTAGATCGAGCTAAACGATTCCATGTACCCAGTAAGTAAATGGCCTTGCAGATTATTGCATTTCACTATACCAAAGCTACCATTCGATGTAATCGAAATATTGTGTCATGGACTTTAAATCTGTCATCTAAAAGGAGCAGATAGCGAGATTCAATAGCACGAAGAGTATTTTTCTTTGTTTTCGAGTTTTGGCAAGATTTGACCACATTGAGGTTTTAGGTGATCTCTCATGAGTGCTTTGTAAACGTTAAAAGCATCATGGGTTTCGATAACAATACACAAGGTCTTAAAAAAAAAGTAATTCAGCATTATCTTTAGTTTTTCAAAGGTGACGTTAAGCCTGTCGATAAAAATGGAAACGTATGTTTAAATCGAAGTAAGTCAAAACATTCAATACCTACACATATCTGCGTCAGTCATAACATTATCACTTTATTGTTAAAGCAAATAAGTATATTTTAAGTAATCGACTGAAACCGTTGACTAACCTTATGTTTCTATGACGGACTTTCAAAATAGGATACCCTCAATGACCCTAAAATAGCAAAGCCTGAGCTGAATGAATGTAAGCGGCAGATGTTAAGCTAAGGATAGGATTCTAACAGCAGTACCATGGTTGTGAGGAGACAAACGAGGCCAGTCTAGGACCCATATAATGAATATAGGTTCTCCGATATGTTGATTTTTGAAGACCAGTTTAGGGGCTCGTTTGGTATGAGGAACTTCAGCAACGGAACCGATTATCTCTTTTCGTCTGCTTCAACATATCATTCAATAGTTCTATATCGTACTAAATGAAATACATAGACGGATTAAGTTCATCTAAAGCCCTCCCATAGTGCTGTGTAATATAATTACGGGGTTCCGATTTGCCTTTTACAAAAAATCTTCACAGATAACATTCTATTCATTTTGCAACAAAATCTTTATTTTTCTAAATGATTTGAAAATACTGTAATATATATATATATATATATATATATATATATATATATATAATAAATGCAGCACGGTATTAAATGGTATTCTAGGATTAAAAAAAAGCAAAAAAAAATAAAAAGGATACAATAAGATAAAATATGACAAAAAAACAATAAGAGATCTTTGAAAAAAATTGTCCAAAGTTGTCCAGGGTCGAGCGAAAAGGCGAATATTAAGCTAAATGCGAAGGTAAGATAAATCTCTGATGTCGTACACTGAGTCATGACATAATAAATGACCTGTCTTAATTGAAACATCGATCTATCCACAATCTATTTAGTATATTATAGTTAGTATTTTCGAGGAAATGTATCTGAGTCTACTCGGTATAAATAAATAACTAGACTTCGTTAGAATAAGAACTCACCCGTTTTGGTTTCTGGGATTTTAGACGTTTGGTTATCGCTCATGCCGAGAGCGTCTCGAGCCTCTGCTACATGTTGACAACGGACGGAAAACGAATACACAGAAGAATCAAAATGTATCCGTTTTTATCTACAGACGTAATGCCAGCACTACCAAGAACAATTCAGCTTTGTCTCGTAGAAACATTACCGGTGATAAGCTAAGAGCACCATCACTTCCATATCTCATGTATCCATGAAACATTGCCTGTTTGCATAACTGCGCATGCTGATCATCTGAGAAAATAGATCTTTGGCCGACTTCAGCCCGCGCCGCGGTCATTGATTTATACTTCAATGCAGGTATCGTCTTCGGCGAGGTGGACACGGTGCTGCCACTCACTCTTCGCCTTTACGGCGATGAAATCGTACACTTGTGAGCCAGCAGTAAGTAGAACAATCAACGCTAGTTAACGTCGGGCGACCGCACCGTGAGCACGGCCGTTTTCAGGTGTGCGGACACCACAAGGCTCGCCGACACTCAGATGTTTGTAGGGGTCGCTACAGGCCACGCGAACAGGACGAAAACCGCAGCAACATATGTCGCTATCGGTAGTAAGGCTTGTACAGGCAATATCTGCTCTAGTGCTTCTATCATAGGCCAACATTATAAATACGTTACAAAAGAATATTTGTCTGTATTGTTCAGAAAACGGTGCAGTATATAAGTGTCGTGGCTGCGAATAAAAGTGACAGAAATTTCGAAGTAGACATCAAAGTAAATGTGTCATCTATTACCACCTAATAGCTTATCGACTAAACGCGTAAAGGTATTTTGTATTAAGCTGAGAAAGTAGAATTGGGGCTATAATCTAGACGATTCAACGCCATGTCATCATGAAACGATGATATGCCCTTCGCTTTTAGGCAATTCTCAAGCGTATGGCAGATTGTATTCTGTGTGTTTATTGCATAAGCCCGACGTTCGAAATCACGAGATAGGTCAGGTAAAAGGTGCTCTGATCAATAACTTAACGCTGAATTCCGCAAGGCATTTAATTGATTCTGTGTGTAGAAGATAATTATAGTCGATAAAAAAAAGGCTTTTCGCGAAAAAAACTTGAGTGGGAATTGTAGTGGCTTATTATATATAGTACTGTTCATGACGTCGCCAATCTGACAGTGTGCTTTGGAAGGTTCACAATATAAGAACTATAAGAGTTGGCTAAAGAACATCTAACCGAAAACAGGTTTAGAACTTTTCGTGCTAGAAGTTCTAAACCTGTTTTCATACATCCATAGAAATTCTAAAAGCAAGGTTTACTCAATTCAGCCAAAGATGCGCTTCGAGTGCATTAGTAATTATAATGCAAAAAAAAGCAAGCGACTCGATGGTTTATTGTTCGTATAAGGGAACTTTTCTCTATTTCAGTAACAGTTGACTTAGATCCTTTTGCACAAAAACGCTTTAACCGTTTTCCAATGATATATTTAATCATGTTGAATACAAAGGGCAAATATTCAAAATTCGGATCTGACTCCTAAAAAATTGAAAATTTCTTTGTACATCTGAAAATTATCGCATGCTGTTGCATTTGAAGAGAATCAAGCCGACAAGCCAATTTTTGTTGACAAAGTTAAAAAGTTACTAAGTTAAATAGAAAATTTTAAATCCGACATTTAACGAATACATAAGCCAGATATTCTAGGGTGAGGCAATCGCATTTAGACAGTTTTCAAAAAAGCCCCTTAAAGACAGTGAAATAGCGTAAATTGTAACAAAGAGCAGATTTAACTTTAAAACATATTTCTAACAGGCACCCCTTAAAATCACTGCTAAATGTTTAGAATGCTTTAAGATCATAGTATCAGCATATTGTTTAAATCCAACGGCTATGGTCATTCAAATGGTTGTACCGGCTTTTATCTACGACATAGAACAAGAGAATTAGTATTCCCCTTTTATTTCAATAATATCATACGTATCTTTTGTTACTTTACAAGAAGTGAGAGAAAGGTTCTCCATTATCAGGAGATTTTTGCTATTTGCTCACTCTGAATATATGTTTACATAATTTTTAAAAATCACTAGATAACGGTCGGTTGTGCCCACTCCTTCAAGCAGCATATCTAAGCAATGTTAATATGAATGAAAAGGAATTAGCGACTTACCACATTTGTCTCGTTCCTCAACGCGGCTTCTCTCTCTCAGACTTAAAAGTTCAGGGTCTGAATTAGAGTTTGGAGATTGCCTCGGGTCGCCAAATTCTATTATCGGGGTTTGCATTTTTGTTACATATAGGTTCTGCACGGTCCTGTTCATTTTGTCTGACTCTAGTAAGACATCCTCCGTATTCAGGACTAACCAAATATTTAACGACTTCTTTAGGTACTTGGCCACTCGATCACCATTTCAAACAAATTAGATCAAATGTCCGCGGTCAAAGGAGTAATTGTTTGGATAGCACACCGCTCCTGCAAAGGAAGTATATAATGCTCGCTCAAGATAAGCCGGGATCAACCTCTCCATCCCATGCATCGGTTAATCGCTTATGTCGAGTCAGCTAGTTACCTTATCAGTTTAGGGATTCTGCGTCCTCTTTAAATTCTAGCCCATTTTAGTAGCCCAAGTAGATCATAAAGACGGGCGAAAAAAGTTGGCCACACATCGTTTGAGGCAAGTCGTGCTTATTGGATAAGAGTTCAACGGTATCAGAGAAATACTTCAGCAGTAGGGTCTAATTTGCGCATAGTACTTTAATCCTCAACCATCACAACGAAAAAGAAGTTTTATTGAATACGCCTGGATTGCTAAAGAAGGCCTTTGAAGCCTGCGCAAGCCTGTTTTTGGCTGGACAGTTTGTTATCTTTCGTCTCGTACACGATTCATGAACAGCATGGTTTCTGCTAGATAGAACTGAAACCACTGTAATCGTTCTGCGGGTGTTCCTGATTGGCTGATTGATTCGCGTACCTCAATTGTATCGCTCGCTTTAGCAAACTGAGGAATCGGCATTTCATTTGAAATGTCAGTAGATCCATTTAGAGAGACAACGGACATCCACCATGCAGCGGAGCACTTTCGACCCATTTGCAGAATGGAGTTATATATATTTAAAAAACACCTCACGAACCAATAGTTCTACCGGAAGAAGATATTGCCGAACGACCAATATCGGATTAGCACCACCGGAACGAACCATATGGAGTAGTAATTTCAGTGATAGCCCATCTACAAAATCCTAACAAAAAAAGCACTAGCTATAACATCTATATTTTTCAGCGTTTGATACAGATGAGTCGAACGTGTTTACGAAATCATCATTTCTACTGAAATGCGTACTCCCGTCGTTTTGCAGGCAATCATCTGCGACTATGCCAGCATTGGATTGTGCCAGTGTCGATAACACGTCCATACGCTGTATATCATTCATAGTTGCACACTAGTTGACCAAGATCAGCGTCGACAGATGGTTATAGTCAGACAATTATTTCATATGTAAGTATTTAATCGTATAGTTCGTTACATTAAGCAAATATCCTAGAGAGTTTCTTCTATAATTCTATGGCGAACGTGAACACATAGAAACAAGTTTCTCTATAATATAGGTATAAGCTATTGACTCAGTGAGTACATCGGCATATTCCTCTCTACACTCTATTCAGATATTATTCTTTGTCCATTGGTACCGCTCAGGGACGCTCGATTACCCTCCAAGCATACAATTGGTCCTAATTCTGTCTAGATGCTTCAGAAAGTCGGTAACCTGTGCAGTGGAACAAGGGGAATTGTCTAACAGCCCGGTATGCCGTTACCCTACGGGCGTTTTATCTACGACGCCATGCTACATATAGGGACGATAACTACTGCATCGAGTTTACTATTTGCGAAAGGTGTTACGTATATCCGAATAGCTGAAGCAAATGCCTTCCGTTTAGTAACTGACACAAACACTACATACGTCGATTGTGTAAACGCACTAAAGCCTTTCGTAAGTAAGGACTCGAGCTTCCGAGTTGCCGAAGTACACCGATAATACAACTAAAACCTCCAGCGATTAATTAATCTATATCAGGTCAGGTCTTTCCAAGAAAATTTACAAACTGAATCAGGGACAGAAACGTCTTTCGTTGTCAAGTTGTCTAAAATGCCAGCTGTGCAAACCCTACGGACGCAACGAGTCGTCGTCTAGTACAACTCCAGTACAACGGTACAGGCTTGTCCACTACAGTTAGGGATGGAGCCGGGTGCCTGAAACCGGGCACACACATAGCTCATTTTGTAGTAAAGGGGGCCAGCCGTCTGAATCTAAAAACTCAAAACATGCATTCAGCTTTGAGATCGGATGTGGATACACGACGTTTAATGACCATCTGAAGCAGTGCATAATGGAAGCACTGAACGTAAAGCTATAGAAACAAAGCATACTAGAATAATTGTTAAGACCTGTTCCTGTTGATATCTACTTCTCCTTGGTAACTATGGTACATATATGACTATGTATATTCTTTTTTTTTTTTTTTTAGCGAATGTGCTATATAGAATATATTGTGCGCTGGTTCGGAAGCATAGGTGTTTTAAACGTCAGTACGAAATCTTTATGTTTCCGTTGAGTTGAACTTCAAAATAGGTGGTGTTTGAATTTATAAAGAAAATGCCTCAATAAAATCTAGAATAATAAATGCCATATATAACTTTATTTATAAATCTACAGTCGGGTTCAATAGAATCTTTGAAAAAATAACAACGGTAATAATAATTATTCAACAAGCTCAATAATAGTAATAATAACGGGGCTGATAAGCTTGATATAAGATAGGTATTTATTATGATTTCGTCGCAACGTGTAAATACGTTAAAGTATTATGGCCCTGAATTGCGTTATTATATTTCTGATCGCCCTATTCAGTTTTTTTTTTGACATAAAAATGATTCCAACGATGATATACATCTTATCTGCTATACAGTCTTATCTGATATAACATAGGTATTGAACACTTTAGCATTTAAAATTTACTAATGAAGTTATATTCAACAATACGATGTACTATTTTCTAAATATCTGTGAGCTTGTTACATCATAGACGACAGAAATTAAACATCTCGCTTTTTTTTTTTATAGAACACAAATGAATGAGACAGGAAGTTAATCAATAAAATAATGATAACGCAACTTAAGAGCGAATTTTTGCTATTTTGATTCGTCTCGTTTACTGCCATGAACCATTATGCGCGCTGACGTTGGCTTGAATCGAGCCGGAAACAATGGAAAACTAACTCCAGAGTGATGGCTGATGTCCAGAATAAAATTCATAACACCTCAAATGCTAAATGTTGTACTATTTAGAGGCTACGAACGTATAGTAAACGAAGTCGCAACTAGCGATGATCACATTGTCATTTCGTTCTGTTAGGCACAACAGAGAAAGCAGCACGATGGTTTATCCCGTTCAGCATATTTATCTTATGTTACACGTTCATTTTTTTACGTCAATTCAGCGAGCTTTTTTTTATGGCGAAGATCGTTGCTGTGTCCACACTTGCGTTTTCGGCAGTTGTGTGCCTTCGGCGGTAGACGAGCGTAGCATTTCCGACAGACCTTTTTGTTGACGTTGTACTTCTCTGCCAGAGTACGGAGGCCCGGGGCAAGCTTTATGCGTCCCAAACCACCAGCCTTCAGTCTAGCGTTCAGCGAAAGTGTTTTTCCAGCCAGGACTGACACAAGGAGCGAAGCCCTCTCATAGATATAGATGCCCCATGACAGACGCATATGATCGACCGGTACTTGTGTGATAGACTCGAGGCGTAACATGAGCTTGTCGAACGAAGAGCCTTCCTCGACCTCACACGAGATCGTCTGTCCGTCGATCGACTTAACGAAGATCTGCATGCTGTTGCTGTTCGGTTTTTTTTGACGCTGAGACCGGATGCTAGTAAGCTTAATAAGGTATCCGCAAGGATTTACAATACGTACACTGATTACTTAGTTATGACGAGTTAGTTTGTGTTCATGTGATTTCACAGGACGCTGCGCTACGGCAGACAGATATCACTTGCCAAGACTGTCGGCGGCAGATGACCTGGGAGGATCCTTCTCGAGATGCGTTCAGTGCGTAACTAACTGGCAGCTGGCTTTGCTTCCATTGACTATGTTGCTTTGAGGGGTATAGTAAAGATAGGACAAGGTCGGGGCACGATCGGGCAGAGGCGACCGGACGTATTTGCCGGAAATCGAATCACATCTAGCGGCCGCTTGGCTAGGCAGAGTGTATAGGGCTTGCCCGAGCAACCATGTTTACCACATGCTGCATTATCAGCTAGACTTCGGTCGACAGAAACTTACGTAACGTCCCAACGTGGCACGAAACCGTTCAAATATTCGTAGACTATAACCACCGCGAGTCAATTGTTACCTTAGGTAAAGGCTGATATTTATTCTAATATTAAATGAGAGCAAAAAAAATAAAATGGTAGTAATAAAATTTGCAGATCATTAAATACTACGGTACGTTATCGATCTATAAACCTATGCATTTTGAATATTCTAAGAATGGCATTCAGACACATGTACAATCCGCTTATGTGAGCTGGGATACGAGAAAAACATTAACTTTATTCCGTCTAAATAGATCTATGATTATTTAGAACCGCGGATTCGAAAGAAAGGAGTCCGCGGTAGTAGAATTTTCAGATAATTATTATAACACTAGCTATACTTAGTTTCATCAACTAGAAAATCTCTCTGAAAGCCTAATTCGAATGTGTTTGTTAAAACGATACATCAAAGCTTTTTAGCGTGTACAATCCGAATTGACGTTGCGCATGGCAGTGTCAATAGAGAAGCCATTATCCTTGTTTCTATTTTAGTACATTTTGACAACTCATGCATACGCGCGTGTGTCATTGAATCAGAAAATAAGATTCGAAATTTACCCGCGTGGTATAGCAACTTTTCAAGCAGGCATTATCGAATAATAAATAGTATATTTGCATGAAAGATATGCCGACAGTGAAGCTTGGTCCATTTATTGTTATTAACTACAAAATCATTTTACCTGCTTCGACAAAATAAAGCTAACTTTTGCTAGCATGTGCTAAACATGGTGAAACTGGCGTCTTATCATACAATCTATATTATTACACTCTACCTTGTTTCGGTGATGAACGGATTAAATGTTTTGTTGTTATAATGGGCGTACTCGAGTTTAAGGCAATAGTAGGTTACAATATATACAATTACACTGTTAGCTAAATACGTGCGTAAGGCGTGCGTGAGATAGCGGAACTTCATTTTAGACTCGCTTCTATATAGCTGGATATATGGGTAAAGGTGTGCAACGTATTGATAACTAGGAGTAAGTCTTTGCTTCTGTAAAAATACTTCAGTTTACTTGAGAAAACATTTTCAAATACCGACACCCGTTT